AGCTCAATTTAAAGCTAGAAGTAAGGAAAGGAGTTGAATAAATAATAATATACATACTAGCAATTTGAAAAAGAATCTTTTTTACAAAAGTATAGAATGCCTGATACCTCTTGTAGAATGCCTAGAAAGCAGGATGGCATAATGGAAAGTATGCTAGATTTGGAGTCAGGAGCCTTCTATTTGAATCTCTATATGGCTGCTTAATATTCATATGAACTTGGACAAGTAATTTCTTGCTGGGCCTCAAGTTCCTTATTTGCACAGTAAGACTTCTGAAATAAATTACCTCTACTGTCCCTTCCAACTCTGGGTCTGTGATCCTATAAAGCTTCCTCAAGCTTCCTCTGGACTTGCTTCATTCTGGAGCAGCAGTGTTCAACTTTTTTTGGTCTCAGGACTCCTTTATACTCTTTTTTTTTTTTAAAGGCAATTGGGGTTAAATGACTTGCCCAGAGTCACACAGCTAGTGTCAAGTGTTTGGTCTGAGGCCAGATTTGAACTCAGGTCCTCCTGATTTCAGGGCCGGTGCTCCCTCCATTGCACCACCTAGCTGCCCCCCTTTACACTCTTAAAAGTTATAAAGGACCCCAAATAGCTTCTGTTTATGTGGGCTATATCTATCAATAATTATTGTATTAAAAATTAAAATGGATAAAATTTTAAAATATGTATTTATTCACTTAAAAGAAACAATAACAAGCCTATTACATGTCAACATAACACATTTTAATGAAAAATAACTGTTTCCAAAACAGTAAAGTTTAGTAAGAAGAGTGACATTGGTTTATATCTTTTTACAAATCTCTTTAATGGCTGTCTTAATAGAAGATAACTGGATTCCTGTATCTGTGCCTACATTTGTGATCTGTTGTGATATGTTGTTTTGACGGGAGTCTATGAAGAAAATCTGGCCTCACGAAGACATGTAGTTAGAAAAGGGAAGAGTATCTTAGTAGTCAAATATCCTCTGAAAGGGTCTTAGTTGGACCACACTTTGAAGACCTGCTATTCTAGAGCACACGGCTGAGCACATGGGGATCCTCAATAAATGTTGTTCAGTTGTTAAAGTTGGGTTCAACTCTTTGTGACCCCATTTGGAGTTTTCTTGGCAAAGATACTGAAGTGGTTTGCCATTTCCTTTTCTAGCTGATTTACAGATGAGGAACTGAGGCAAACAGGATTAAATGACTTGCCCAGGGTCCCACAGGTGGTAGGTGTCTGAGTCCAGATTAGAACTCAGAAAGAGGAATCTTCCTACTTCCAGGTCTGGCACTCTATCCAGTGCACCACCTAGCTGCCCCATTAAATACTGATTGATTAATTGATATAGTTGAAGTGCCTGCTCAAGCTCCCTTTGGTACCCAGTTCTAGACCTTTTAATCCCCCTTCACTTCAGAACAAGCTTCTTCTGGGCAAAAGAAAATGAAAGCTGAAGTCCTGAGAGGCCTTTTTGGCTTACTCCTATCCTAATGTCTTGGGAGGGATAACTACAGGTCTCTGACAGTTGGATTGGCATTTTCTTTCAACCACTTAAGTGAGAAATCCCATACCAAACAGACTAGTGGTTGTTTAAAAAACAAACAAAAATCATGGGTAACACTATGTTCTGTAATGTACCCAGAGGCTAAAGAGGGAGAACAGTAACAAACGAGAGTACAAGCTGTTTGTAGGGGGAGTGAGGCGAAGCAGAGTTCTCGATTTAGAGTCAGAGAACTGGCATTTAAAGCCTGGCTCTGCCATTACAGTGTCTTAGCTGTGTGACCTTAAGCAAGGTCGCTTACTTCTCTGGGATTCCATTTGTCCCTCTAAAATGAAGGAATTGATGCATATCTTTCTAAGGGTTGAATTTTTCTTGTGTTCCCTGCCTGCCTGCCTTCTCTGCCCACCCCCAAGGAGGAGTAGAAGAGAGAAAGTTGATTTTTGTTCTTTAAAATTTATATGTATCTAGTGAAGGAGTTAGATTAAATTATCTCTAAGTCCCTTTCCACCTCTCTAAGAAACCGAACTCTGAAAAACTGAAAAGCCAATAATGGTACAGAAGAACAGATATTAAAACATCTTCCTTCTCTCAGCACAGAGGCAGAACACTGACTTACTCAGACAGAACCTTGTGTGTATTGATTTTGATTAACTATTTTTCTTCTGCAGCAACGGTAGAATCTGTATATGATGCTTAGAGCACATCAGTAACACAAACAGCCCATTTTGGCTTGTGTCCTCTTCCTTAACTCTATGGAGAGTCTTTGTTGTTGTTAAGTCATGTAACTCTTCATTGATCCCATTTGGGGTTTTCTTGGCAAAAATACCATTTGCCTTCTCCAGCTCATTTTACAGATGAGGAAACTGAGGCAAACAGGTTAAATGACTTGCCCAGGGGCACACAGCTAGTAAGTGTCTGAGGCCAGATTTGAATTCAGGAAGATAAGTCTTCCTGACTCCAGGCCCAGCACTCCATCCACTGTGCCACCCAGCTGCCCCCAAAATATTAGCAAGTAGGCTCATTGTTGTTTAGTTGTGTCTGATTCTTTGTGACCCCATGTACCATATTGTCCACAGGGTTTTCTTGGTGAAGATACTGCAGTGGTTTGCCATTTCTTTCTCCAGTGGATTAAGACAAATAGAAGTTAAGTGACTTACCCAGGATCCCATAGCTAGTGTCAGAAGCTAGAATTGAATTCAGTTCTTCCTGACTCCAGGCCCAGCCCTTTCATTATCCATTGAGCCATCTAGAAAGTCTGCATTTTGCTATTTATGGGAAGTATAGTATTTCATTTGTCTACAAGGTGGTGATATATTTAAGCAACGAGCCAAGAGATCCGTCAGTTGCTCTGGCTTCTGTGTGGAATATCCTTTCCACTGCGATGCAGCTTTTTGCCTACTGACCACTAGAGGCCACTCAGTCTGCAGAACTTTAGACTGCTCCCTTTCCCAGGTTCTCTCCTGTGGCTGCCAAGTTCTCAATTTAACTTAGAGAGTAGAAATGAAATGTCACTAAAATATTAATATCTAAAATCTGTGACTTTAGCCCCTACTCCATGTATGGAATTTCCCCTCTCAGTCTCAGAATACTGCTCTTAGTCTCTGTCTCTGTCTCTGTCTCTGTCTCTGTCTCTGTCTCTCTCTCTCTCTCTTTCTCTCTCTCTCTTTCTCTCTCTCTCTCTCTGTCTCTGTCTCTCTCTCTCTCTCTGTGTCTCTCACACACACACTGCCTAGTTTTTGAAGGATAGAGTCATTCAATTTACTGTGACTATATACATTATGGGACATAAAAGAAAATTGAAAAGAAATAAAGCACATGCTGTTGTCTTGAGCATCCACCCAACCATCTCCTAAAATTCCTCCTGCACCTAGATATTATAGAAAGGTGAGGGAGGACTGTTTGTGTCTATCAAAGATACAGGTCTAGACCAAGCAAGACAGATCAAAGGAAAAGAGAGAACTGTCCTCTTCTTTTGTTTTGAAACTACCAGTTTCCAGCTACTGGTCCCCTACCTGTATGCGCTGGTCCGTGGTTGGTTTATTTTACCTGTCTCTGAACACTGATCTTTATTCCTGAATAACACACTCCCAAAACTCACTGCCATCTGCCCACATGCTTGACAATCTTATTGTTATTCCCATGCGTCTCTGTTTCCTGCATCCCAAAAATGGTGGGTAGGAAGTATCTCCAAAAAGCAAAGGAAATTGAGATCCTTGAAATCTGCAAGCCCAAGCTATACATTTTGCCATTCCTAGTATTTTGCCTTGTGAGAGCTTCTATTCCCCACAGGAGTTAAACACTATTGGAGAAACACCTGCTATACTTCGTTACAAGGAAAAAATAGGCTGCAAGTGGTGTATCTAGAAATGACTGGTATAAAAACAATAAGGATCAATAAAATTTAAGAAAAAGTAAAATAAATCTTATAATCCTATGGTTTCAACAGTGTATACAGACTTCCTCTGATGCATATCAATCAATGGAAATAGACCATTTGGAGGGCTTCTGATCTTTGCTTTAAAAAAAAGTGTTTTAAATGTTGGGGAAAATTATCAAAGTTTATTATGTTACTTAATCCTTTGACATTTAGGGACATGCAATAGCTCATGCAGTTTCTCTAAGAATGTAGCTGTGTTAGGTTCTCCAATTAGAAGATGCTGGAATCAATTAAATAAAAGCATTTATTAAGCACCTACTATGAGAGAAGATATTGTGCTGGTCCTGGGATTACAAATACAAAAGTGAAATAGACTTTGTCCTCAAGAAGCTTACATTCTTCTAAGGGGTACAACATGTTCACAAATAAATACAGGATACACACAAAACAAATACGCAAATAATGTTTTTGGCCAGGGCCAGCTCTAACAACTGGGGGAATCAGAAAAAGTCCCATTGAAGGAGATGGTGCTTGGGATGAATCCTGAAGAATCTCCTCAAGATCTAACCTTGGAGCCAGGTCATATGGAATTGTCATTTCTTCTGAGAGAAGTCCCCCATCCCTGGAACCCTCTCTGTCTCCACCACCTAACTTCCCTGGCTTCCTTCAAGTCTCAGCTAAATTCTCACCTTCTGCAAGCAGCCTTTCTCAATGCTCCTTAATCTTAGTGCCTTCCATCCGAGACTAGCCTCAGATTACCATGTACATATCTTGTTTGGGCATTATTTTTGCATGTTGTCTCCCTATTAGACTGTGAGCAACCTGAGAACACAGATTGTTTTTTGCCTTTCTTTGTATCTCCAATGCTTACTTAGTACAGTGCTGGCATGTACTGTAGGGTTTGTTTTTTTTAATACATGCTAGTTAACTGATTGACTGAGAGACAGAGACCAAGAAGGAATGGTCCAACTTGATGGCAAGCCAATCATGGCAGTATCATCTCCATTCATGGAAGGCTCCCAGCTCCTGAACTGGTGATATCACACAGAGAGCTTATCTCCTCCTCCTAGTGGATCAGAGGACACAGGAACTTGACTGAATCTTGCTGAGAAACTCCCCTTTTCCTTCTTTGTTTCTCTTCAGGAGCTTGAACGGCTCAATCAGATCCTGGAGGCTGAGAAGCAGCAGTTTGAAGAAGTGGTTCAGGAGCTGAGGACGGAGCAGGAGCAAATCAAGAGGTACTGACCGTGGTGCCCGAGGGGATGGAGGAAGAAGCTGCCTGGAGGGGAAGGGGTGAGGGACCCCCACCTAATGATCCAAAGCATTCAGGCGCTAGACGGAGCCACTAGCCTCGTTCCGTATGGCTTCATAGATAGCTAGAGTTGGAAGGTTCCTCAGCGGTCATCTAGGACGACGTCCACATCTGATAGATGGGGATTGAAGAGGGCATGTTTGAGATAGCTGAACATCTCCCATTTCTGAATTATCTGCCTAAAAAATAGGAGCAGTACATTAATTTGTAGACAGGTTCTAACTATACTGGGGCATTGCCCCAGTCTGATGATAGCCAGGGCTAAGCTGGTAAGTTCGTAGAACTCGAGGATGGAAGTGGCCTTAGAGATCTCACCTTCACCCCTCTCATGTTACAGGGGAGGAAACTAAGGTCCACAGAAGTCAAGAGGCTTTCCTAAGGTCACAGAGGTAGTGAATAGCTGATAGAAATTCAAACCCAGATCCTCTTTATTTGTTTGTTTGTTTGTTTGGTTTTTTAGGCAATTGGGGTTAAGTGACTTGCCCAGGGTCACACAGCTAGTAAGTGTCAAGTGTTTGGTCTGAGGCCAGATTTGAACTCAGGTCCTCCTGACTTCAGGTCCAGTGTTCTGTCTACTGCACCACCTAGCTGCCCCCCAGGTCCTCTTTAAAAACAATAGGCATTAATCAAACTTATTCAATAAAAAATCCATTATTTGATCCTATAGCTTAGCAGTGTTTGTAGACTTAATCTTGTATTTTTTTTTGGGTGAGGCAATCGAGGTTAAGTGACTTGCCCAGGGTCACACAGCTGGTAAGTGTCAAGTGTGTTAGACTTAATCTTACACATACAAACCACTGGGAGAGTTTCTAATTTCTGCTTTAAAAACAGTAAATGTGTTGTGTTAAAGAGTAGTATTTGTTCTACTGTATCTGCCAGTTCCTTACGTGTTTATTACTCCATTATTATTTTTAGAATCTTACTAGTTCAAATTTCCTGCATCCTTTTCAGTTTCTAAAACCATATCACATACATTTAATCATGTAACTTGGGGCATACCTACATGTTTGCTTGAAGAACCTCGAGACTGAGACTAAAAATTCAGCCTCTCTTCTCCCTATAAGAAAGAAGTTGGTGCAGTGGATAGAGCTCCTGCCTTGGAGTCAGGAGGACCTGAGTTCAAATCCGGCCTCAGACACTTGACACTTACTAGCTGTATGACTCTGGTCAAGTCACTTAACCCCAATTGCCTCACCATAAAAAAAAGAAAAGAAAGAAAAGAAAGGAGAACAGGAGATGCCTAGAGCAAGGAGATGATGTCAGAGAGAAAGAGGGAAATGCAAGGGAAGTGGAGGGGCAGGGAGGGGCTCCAGAAAGCCACCAAGGCAAGTGAAGGCAAGGGAAACAGTTACTGGCCTGGAGTTGATGTATTAAGTTTTATCACACATCCAAAGGCAAGAAGAAATTTTATTTCATGGGGGTGTATGATCATCACCTATATGCAGTGATGGCGTAATGGGTAGACCTGACTTCAAATCCCGCCTCAGGTACTTACTAGCTCTGTGGCCCTGAGGAAGTAATTTAGCTGCTGTCTGCCTCAGTTTCCTCAAATGTAAAATGGGGATCATAATAGCACCTGCCTTGAAAGGTTATTGTGAGGCTCAAATGAGATAATAACTATAAGTGCTCAGCAGAGTGGAGGCCCTTAATAAATACTTTTTCCCTCCCTCCTGCTAATAAGTATTGACAAAGAGAAATGAAAATAATTGCAGCTTCTAGATCACCATTAGCTGCTTAACATGGAGCAGTAAAAAAATTCTGTGAAGGTCTTGATAAGAGCCTCCATATTAAAAACAACATACACTGATGACTTCAATGCCAGTGTGGGAAAAGGTGAAAACAGGTAAAAACGGGTGTCCTGGAGCCAACTCCAGTCGGCTTTCAGAGCAGACGGTTAACATTTTCGGTGTGAGCATTTATACCTAGGAAATAAGCAATTGCTACAGATCAGGGCCTGATTTATTGTTTCATTGATTGCTTGGACTTAAGAAAATGTTAACAATGCAGATTAAACTTAAAAGTATGCCCTGCATACATTTTTTCTTCCTGGAGAACCTGGTTATTGAATATTTACCAGCATACCCCTGGGTAGAAATATGTGGAAAAGTACAGATCAGGAGAAATAAAAGAGAGAAGTCAAAGACTTGTAGATTATGCAGAGGCCTCATGACTCTATGTCATGAATATTTTCTTTTTAAAAAATTGATAAGGCACTAGACATGGTGAACACCAAATAACATCATGAAGAATAAAATTAATATTTTGAAGTTAGGAAAAGACTTAATATTGGCACAGTTAGAACATCATTTATCAACAGTAAGGTCAGAATTTGAAATGAACAAGAAAAAAAGATCAGTCATGAGAAAAAGATAAACCCACATAATTAATATTTATCCTTGAATCATTTAAACAAACTATTGGAAATAAAAAATGGGAAATAGATAACAGAAATTCCATCAACACCTAGGATAATAATTTCACTCATTAATTAAACAAATGTAAATTACTTCTTACAACAGGGAGACCCAGAGAGTTCGGAAAGTACCTTAGTTAGTAAACATCTGATCGCTTGTTGGAGGCACAGATGGCTGCCAAAGACAATACGGGCTTAGAATTTTAACTCATGAGCAGCTAGGTGATGCAGTGGATAAGAACACCAGCCCTGGAGTCAAGAGGCCTTGAGACACTTACCAACTGTGTGACCCTGGGCAAGTCATTTAACTCCATTGCCTAGAAAAAAGAAAAAAAAAGAAGAATATTAACTCTAAAATCTAAGAGCAGCTAGGTGGTGCAGTGGATTGAATGCCAGGCCTGGAGTCAGGAAGACTCAACCTCATGAGTTCAAATCTGGCCTCAGACATTTACTAGCTGTGTGACCCTGGAAAAGCCACTTAACCTGTTTGCCTCAGTGTCCCTAGGAATTGAGGTATGGGGTGAAGTTTGTGCTTTGTTCTTGCTATGTTGAGGCTGGAGCTGATGGCAGTAGAGAAAATTTACTCTCAACACTAAGGGAACCCTAGAACCCTGAGGGGTCAGTATATCTGCCTAAATCTGGGAGAGTGAGCCAGAGCACACTTGGTAAATGTGGCACCTCATCCGGGATTAAATTGAGTCATTCACTTCTGAGGAACCCCTAAAGAGATTCTCCAACCTGGGCTTTCATGTTTTGGATATCTTAGTTTACAAAATCCTAGGGAGATTGTCAATTTAAAAAAAAAAGGCTATAGTTAGTTTTTCTGGTATGTGTTCCCCTACAAGTCAGCCCCATTTGAGATGATTTTACAAAATTTTTCATGTGTTTATTTGTTCAATAATTAAGTATTGCTACTCTACTATGTTACTGAAACCGCATTGATATTGGGTCTAATATGATGAGTATGCAGTTCAAATCATTAAAATGCTGGTGCTTACCCACATGCTTATATTTTCTTGTTCAATTTAAACACACCTAGAATGCATATTTTGGGGGCAGCTAGGTGGTGCAGTGGATAGAGTGCTGGGCCTGGAGCCAGGAAGACCTAAGTTCAAATTCAGCCTCAGACACTTACTAGCTATGCGACCCTGGGCAAGTCAGTTAACCCTATTTGCCTCAGTTTCCTTATCTGTAAAATGAGCAGGAAAAGAAAATGGCAAACCATTCCAGTATCTCTGCCAAGAAAACCTTGAAAAGGGGTCATGAAGAGTCAGACATAACTAAAACCAACTGAACAACAACAGAATACTTATTGTGAGAACTGTCCAGCAAGTCCGGAGGATAAGGTTTGCTTGTGTGCCTAGAAACCCCAGTAATCAATTCTTAGTGTTTAGTTCCTTTTCTCTGAAGTTGAACCCATCTTTGGGCTTGCTTGACCTTGTTTTGATATTTTCTCTAACTCACCCTGTATGTCCTGCTATTGGGTGAATTTGGAATTCCAGGAGGAATACCATTGCAGAGGAAGGGATGATTTATTGGGGGGGAATTTCAGATGATCTTTGTAATAAGGACCTATATAAAATGTGTGGACCTCTAAGGGGATTGAGTATTGGTGTGCCCTGGGTGGAAAGGAACACTTAAAAAATGACCCCCCTCCCTTTATATAAAAAAGCAACCAGAAACATCAATAACTGCCTATGTGTGTATATATACCTACTCTCCATCATCTATACAAAACAGAGAGCATTGATAGAGAACAAGAAGGCTTTCCCAAGCAATATTATTAAACAATAGACCACAGTTTTCTCACCTCACAACTCACTAAAAGATGTAGAAAATACAAGATCCTATTATGTTAATTGTTTATCAGTTTGGAAGAAATGTTAGACTCAGTAGAATAAAATACTGCCTTACAGACTCATACAATAAGGTATCTCTCATCCATATATCAGGATCATTTAGGATTTCTTGGAAGCTGTAACAGCAGAAGGAATTCTGTTCAATGACCCTTGGATAATAAATGTCAGATGAGGCATAAAACACGGAGATGTATGCCTGCCAAAGGTATTGCCGCTGTGATGGAGGAGACTCAGTGCTGAATTCAGGTTGAAGAAGAATCCTCCAGATCTTCCTTTTTATAGAGGGCATCATGTTGACTGTGGCAAGTCCTAAAGAATTGCAGAGCTTCTTGGAAAAGATATGTAATCTCTCAAAAGATTTTGGCTTATTCATCTACAAAGACCAAATGGGTGAAGAATGTCTATTTCAACTTGAAAATGAATGGACACCCAATACAGCTTGTCCAACAAGATACATAGATATAGATAGATAGATAGATAGACAGATAGATAGATAGATAGATAGATCGATCAGTAGATTTGGGACAGATTGACATGAGCTGGATCCAGAATTGGAAAGGAGTAGGGGGGTTGGATAGATTCTTTCAGGAAATTTAAAAGGTAGGGGGTATTTTTACTGACTCCAAACTTCCCAGGTAGGTAGCCCAATCAGGAAGACTCATCTTCATGAGCTTGAATCCAGCCTCAGACACTTAACTAGCTGTGTGAACCTAGGCAAGTCACTTAACCCTATTTGCCTCAGTTTCCTCTTCTGTAAAACAAGCTGGAGAAGGGAATGGCAAACTACTCCATTATCTTTGCCAAGAAAACTCCTAGTGGGGTCACAGAGTTGGACGTGACTGAAACTACTCGGCAACAATTTCCCATAACAGTGATGTGCCATCTTTTCAATACAAACATTTTACCAATATTACTGGATGGCAGAGAGATGTGGAATAGCACTGCCTATAAAGAATTAAAGATGAGGGGCAGTGAGGTGGCACAAGGGATAGAGCATTGGCCTGAAGTCAGGAGGACCTGAGTTCAAACGCGGCCTCAGACCAAACACTTGACACTTACTAGCTCTGTGACCCTGGGCAAGTCACTTAACCCCAATTGCCGAAGGGGGGGGGAGAATTAAAGATGAATATTACATAGAGGCCAATGGAAAGACATGCAGTGGTTGTGGGCAAGATGCAACATGTAATGAATGAAGAGAACAAAACTAAGTAAAAGATGTCATCAAGCAACTATGTAACAGAAATGAACGATCATCTGGTCACTTGGAGAAAACAAGGAGTGACAGATGTATGGTCGGAGTGCTCCACTTGTATCCTTTGGATTTCAGGAGAAGGTACTTCCAACATGGTGGGCTGATCCCCAGAGGCCAGCTTTGGAAGGATATGGATGAGAGTTGTGCAGGATAGACAGATATGGAAAGGTTGCCATCCGCATCTTCAGGGGAATTCCCAAATTGATAAGATCATATTATTGTGATCAGTGCATTGAATATTGAGTATTGTGAACTTGACAGTTATCAATAAGTACAAATATTTCAATATAAAAAAGAAACAATTGCACTTTTTAAAAACTGTGAACTTCTGTTAGATATAGTGTGTTTTTTCTTTTTTTTCTTTAGTGAGGCAATTGGGGTTAAGTGACTTACCCAAGGTCACACAGCTAGTACATGTCAAGTGGTCCGAGGGCAGATTTGAACTCAGGTCCTCCTGACTTCAGGACCGGTGCTCTATCCACTGCGCCACCTAGCTGCCCCTAGATATAATGTGTTTTTTAAACATATTAAATTTAACAAGGTAGTTTTGTCAAAATCTACCACCTTGATCTCATAAACCCTTAAGTAGATGCTGAACAGATATTTGTTATATTGAATCATTGAAAGCATAGGGTGTGGACACAGAAAATCTAGAATATCAGCTGGTCACTGATTTGCCACATTTGAGAACTGTATGGGAACAAGCTGGGTATTTGTAGATAAACCTACACTGGAGGGGTCTCTGAAGCCCCAGATCATGTATAAAGTCTCTCAGGATGCTACAGAATGGGTTCTGTGAGTTGTATAACTAATACCACGGTATTGGGTACTCCACGAAGAAGAAGTTAAGACACATGCTATCTGCCCTCAAGTGACTTACATTTGGGTTGGCAGGTATTTTAAGTTTTTGTTTTTCTTTTGAAATCCTGGTGGCTGGAGGGTACTGGTATCAAGCTCTCTGTCTCATTAGGGAGCTGGAGCTGACAGCAAGATGCCTCAGCGGGGTGGAGCAAGAGAAGAAAGAGCTGAGAAACCTCACTGAATCCTTACAGCAGACATTGGAAGTAAGTAGGGAGCTGGTTGGCTAGGAAGGGCAGGTGTTGCTATTATTTTTCAGTTGTGTGTCCTGGAAACTGAGACTTGGACGTTTAAAAGGGGAGGGGGACTGGGAGAAGAAAAGGCCTTTGTTCTGAGAGATCTTCTTGAACATTTGCCTGAAGGAACCCTCCTCAGCCAACAGGGCCCAAAACATTGGCTTACTCTACTTCCTAGAACCCACAGAGCTATTCATTTATTATTACAAATTCTGAGTTTGTAGAAATAGGCAATGGCCTTGGTTATAATATTGTCTAATAGAAATCCAAAAACCCAGTAGACTCAATGGGTATAAAAGTGACAAAAGTAGCCATTCTGCTGGCCACTTTTCTCCTAAAGCATGTTCCCTCAAAGTAATTCTTGCATCAAGGGAAGTTAAGAGGTAACTCCACCACCAGTCTTCTTACTGGATTGCAAAGCAGAGAAGGGAGGTTCTTGCTGTTCTTTGCATAAGACACTTCACGTCCAAACTCCTGGCATTTTTGCTGGCTGTCACTCACACATGGATGACCTCCCCTCCTCATCTCTACCTCCTGGCTTCCTTGGCTTCCTTCAAGTCCTAGCTAAAATCCCACCCTCTTATGGAAGCCTTTCTTGATCCCACTTAATTCTAGCACCTAGCCACTGTTGATTATTTCTAATTTATCATGTATATGTCTTGTTTGTATCTAGTTATTCACATGTCGTCTCCCCCATTAGATTGTGAGCTTTTCAAAAGTTGGGGCTGTCTTTTACCTTTCTTTACCCCACAACCTAACACAGTGCTTATCACATGATGGTGCTTAATGAATTCACTGACTAAATATTGACACTAAAACTGATACTAAAATTCACTGCCATTTCACCTCCACATGCCATTATGGTCACTGCTTGGGACCACTCAACTGAGAATTGCCACTTGGCTATTTGATGTGCTGAACCTCCTAAAATCTGGTGTAAGGGCTGGGATTAAGGAGGATATTTTCATCCAGAAAACTGTGTGGAACAATATGCTAAATTCACAGAAGAAAGGGGAAAAAAGTAATCTATCCTTATTCCCTGAACTGATTCTTGATGGAGACAGTGGAAAGAGTGATTAATCTGAGTCATAGATTCAAATCCCAACTCTTACATACTTCCTGTGTGACTTTAGGCAAGTCATTTAATTTCTCTCATCTGTAAAAACAAGAGGGTTAGATTAGATGACTTCTCAAGTCCTTTGCAGCTCCAAATTTGTGATCCTGTGATGCTATAAGTCATTAGACTTTGGATAGCCATGGAAAGAGGGATTTGGGATGAAATAGCTTCTTCTGTGGGAAAAAAAAAAGAAGAGACTTCGAATGAAATTCAGAAAGGGATGAGAAAGGAGCACAATACTCTCTGGAGACAGAAGTAATAATAATAATAATTGGTGGTATTTATATCATACTTGAAGGTTTGAAAAGATCTTTTTTAATTATTATTTTTAACATGTGTTTTTAAAACTTTGGGTTACAGATTTTCTGAAAAGTTCTTTATAAATGTTATCTCATTTTATCCTCACAACAGCTCTGGGAGGTAGGTCCTATTATTACCATCATTTTACAGATAAGGAACCTGAGGCAGAAAAAGATTAAATGACTTGCGTGACTGAATCTGAACTCAGGTCTTCTTGACTCCATTATCACTATACCACCTGGCTGCCTAAGGGAGGTGTCTCATTTATGCTCTTTCCCCTCCATCTCCATCCTAGGAACTCTCCATAGAGAAGAAAAGAACCTTGGAGATGCTGCAGGAGAATGAGAACCAGGCGCAGACTCAGGCCAGTCAGAACCAGCAGCCCCACCCCAGTGGGGGTCTCCATTGCAACCTGCGGCAGATTGAGGAAAAGATGCAACAGCTTCTGGAGGAGAAACTCCTTGCAGAGAAGAGGTGAAAGAATACAAGATTGGTAGGAGGATCTGGGAATTGGAGCTTCATCTGGGAACTAGGACACTTGAGTTATACTACTAAGTAGATGAGTAAAATTTCCTTACTCTCTGAATCAGTTTCCCTGTGAGCCAAATGAAGATGAGAACAGTCCTCACTGGTTGATAGTTAATGTGGGATAGAAGGTTGTGGTGCTAAAGTAATCTATGGGTCATAGAGCTGCTCCAGGCAGGAGTACGAAGGGCTGGGAGAATTCCCTGACACCTCCTCCTCTCCTCCCTCCCCCCAGATACACTCATACCCTTCCAGGGCTATGCTCTGACTGGGTCATTTCCTGAAGTACCCTCCCTAACTCCCTTACTGGAGGACTGAACTGGGTGAGTAGAGATGGTCATAAGCCTCTCGTCCTTGAGACAGGATGAAGGAAAATGAAGAAAGATCGCGGGCACTGGAGGAGGAACGGGAGTTCTATTCCAGCCAGTCACAGGCCCTGCAGAACTCTCTGCAGGAGCTGACAGAGGAGAAGCAGCAGACCGAGAGGGACCTCAAGGTGCTAATCCTTGGCCACAGTTGCCCTTTTTTACCCAAATTATCTTTGGGATATAAGTGTGTACTTTCCCTCACATCCCTTTTTCTCCATGTGGGTTTCTCCATTTCAGCCCAATCCAACCCCCCCAAAAAATGTGTTATATACTATATATAAGGTACTGGGGATACAAAGATGAAATGTAAAACTCTTGCCCTCAGGGAGCTTACATTCTATGAGGACAGGGGACAATGTAAAAAAATAAGTACAGACCTAATCATTAGAGGATGGAGAGAACACCAATAACTAGGGGAAATCAGGAAAGACTTCCCGTTGGAGGTGGCATCTGAATCTAAGCTTTGGAGGAAGCTAAGACTTCTAAAAGGGAGAGCTGACAAGGGAGTTCATTCTAAGACATGGAGCGCAGCCTGTGCAAAAGGATGGTGGTGGGAGATGGGATGAGAAGTCTAAGGAATAAAAAGTGGGCCGATTTGGCTGGGGCATAAAGTCTGACAAGGAATAATATGAAATAAACCTAGAAAGGCATGCTGGAGCCGGACTGTGAAGTTCTTTAAATGCCAAACGGAGGAATTTGTATTTCATCCTAGAGGCAGCAGAGAGCGGCTAGACGTTCTTAAGCAGAAACACGACAGGGTCTAACCTGCATTTGTATTGGCCCCCATTCTAGGAGGGTGACAGAAAATGTCCTCCCTCCTCCTAACTACAGTTATTAGATGTGTCCACCATCCCTTTGGTAGCTGCAAGCAGTGTAGGGAGCAGGTTTCATCTCCACTAGCAAATTCAGTGAGCATCCTGCCTTAATCAGTTAGCAAATATTTCATGAGTACCAGAGAGAAAGAGAGAGAGAGTAACTCTCCAGAAGGTTAAAGTCTAGTAGGGGAGATGAGATCATTTCTAGCAAGGGAGATCAGGGAATGCTTCATGGAGGAGGTGGGATGTGCTTCCTCAATTTGTTTCTCTCCTATGTCCCACATCTCACATGTCAGGCTGAGATCAAGGTCCGAATGGACCTTGAGAAGAGGCTTCGGGAGGCAGAAGGAGCCCTTCGGAGTCTGGAACAAGGGCTCAACTCGAAGGTTCGAAACAAAGAGAAAGAAGAGAAGATGAGGGCTGATGTCAGCCATCTGAAAAGTAGGTCTCCTTTCCTTCTACTTTGAGGCTAACCCAGATCCCAAACATTACACCTGACCAGAACAAACACCAGGTGGTTCCTCTTAGAACCTGGTAGGGTAGTGGAAAAAGCACTGACTGGCCAAGTCAAGGTGCACCAGGTTTCAAATTCCACCTCTGAAGAGCTGCTGCCTGATAACTTCTCTGAACCTCAGTTCCCTTATTCATAAAATGAGGATAATACCTTGTGAGGATCAAATGAGATAATTTATGTGAAGTGCTTTGGAACCTTAAGTTCTTGTATTAATAAATGTTGGCTCTTCTCTCCCTCTCTTTCCTTTTCTCCTCTTCTGCCTCTCCTCTCCTCCTCCTCCTCCTCTAACTCTCCTCCCCTTCTTCTCCTCTTCCCCATCTTTTGCCTCTCATCCCACTCCTCCACCTCCTCTCCCTCTTTTGCTCCCTCCCCTTTTCCCTCCTTCCCTTTCTGCCATGTCCCGATCAGAGATTTGCCCTTTGGGCGAGTTTTATCCTTTCTTCCTCCTTCTGATAAGGTAGAGGGTAGGATGTAACCATATTTCCCCGTCCAAAGCACTCAGGGCCATTATCTGTATCAGGGCTTCTTAAACTTTTTCCACTCATGACCCCTTTGGGGCAGTTTGTTGGCATTGCACGCTTTGTGTTCAGAATCAAGGCTGTATCACTATGGGATGCAACACCAGCAAGCCCAGGCAGAAGCACCTCAGATTCATTATGCGTTTGATTTTTAATTAATTTTTGGTCGTTGCACATTCAGAAAGCTTTTACTGTTGCCAAATTTTTGCAACCCACAGTTTAAGAAGGGTTGAAATCTATATCACCAGCCATTGACTCCCCTAGTTCTCTGTATTATAAGGTTTTTGTTTTTATTTAGGGGGAATTTTTTTTGGGGGGTGGGGAAGAGTGGAAGCCCTAATCTGACCTGGAATTCTTTGGGAGGCTCAGGGTACTGGGATGTCTCATCAATTTCTGCCATGGCCCTTTCCCCACAGGGTTTTTTGAGGAGTGTATAAGGAATGCTGAGTTGGAAGCCAAGATGCCCGTTATCATGAAGAACTCAGTGTATATTCACAAGGCTGCTACCCGTCGCATCAAAAGCTGTCGTTTCCATCGAAGGAGATCTAGCACATCCTGGAATGACAGTAAGTGCCTTCTAAATTACCCTGTGGGGTTTGGGCTGGGGTGGGGGTGGGAGAAGAGAGAAGGTTCAATCACATTTTGGCCTTCAGTGATACAGTATGGGGAAAGACCTTGCCTTCTCATTCCAACCCACCCCTAGCGTCTTTGTCACCTTGGCATCCCTCTCATAGGGCTTCCTTCCCTCAACCCCCTAACATTTGGAGGGTTGCTCTGTCTCCCAGAGCACCTACCCTCCCTGTCTCCCCTCCCCCACACACACTGTTTTTGTCCCAGACAAAAGGATTCCTAGAAGAGTGCTGTTTCAGACTTAGAAGTCAGAGGTGGTGTTTAATGTGTTGACTTGAAATGAGCTCTTCAATGCAGATGCAATTACAATACTGGCATAATTATCTTAAATTGAAAGAAGCAAGGATAGGAATAGTGAGCAGAGCCAATAAGAGAAGAGTTTATTGATAAGACGGGGGATGGGTGGGTCTTGCTATCTTTTCAGTGAAACCTTCCCAGTCTTTCATGACATCCCAGTTGGAGGCCAACAGCATCGAGGAGCTCAAGGAGGTGGCCAAGAGGCTGAGTCGAGACCAGCGTTTCCGAGAGTCCATTTACCACATTATGCTGTCACAGCCTGGGCCCAACCCTGCCCTTCCCCGGGGTGGGAAGTGATCTTCTGTCTTCCTTCCTGGCATCCCATCCCGGCTATTGCCACCTCCCACCCCAGGAGTGGGAGTAAGGGCAGGAAGGTCAGCCTCCTTGCTCTTTCTCCACTTTGTTCAGGAGCACCTCTCTCTCCTTGTGGGGAAATCACTGCATTAGTAATGCCACTCTTCCCCACAAAGAACAATGGTATATATGTGTGTCATTCCCCAAATCTTTCCTACCCCCAGGTCAGTTTTTCTGATCTTGGATTAATTGGTCTGATCTCTGCCCCCTCCCTATGTACTAACTCTTTCCCTAAGGCCACCAATCTACATGTTACTTGGTAGGTAGCCTTGGTAAGGATGGTTGGCTTGAGACACACACACACACACACACACACACACACACACACACACACACACCCCTGTATGTATGTATGTATTTGTCTTTATACCCTTTTCCTCCATCTGCTGACTCCAAGTGAAGGAGTTATACCATTACCAGCTGCCTACCTAGCTGCTATCCTCAGTGAATTCCCTTGGTGCCTCCATGATGCACAGATATATTCAATCAGGCATGCAGGAGTTTGCTATCAATATATTTTCTCTGTACTGTACATATGCCCCATCCTTTCTCCTCTTTCCTCTTCCTCTCTTTTCCTCTGTCAGCCTCCTTCTTGTCATGCTTTCCTATTCGTCCCATGTCCATATTTTACTTCTGTCCTTGGCTCTCTCCCTTGTCTCTAACTCGGTGAGGGCTTCCCTGCCACTTTTAATGCTTCCTGGTGCTAGATGTCCCCCACCCTAGCCAAGGGCTGACTCTCCTGTAGCCCTTGATCTCTTACTCTAAGCCACAAATGCCAAATAGGGGCCTCTGAGGATCTCAGCTCATTACCATGTCCTCGGGCATAGAATCATCTCTCACCAAATGCTCAAGGACTAGGTAGTTGGTCCTCCATGGTGGTCCCTGGGTTACTTGACTCACCAGCTGAGCCCAGCAAAATACTTCCTAGACCACTGCTCTCCAGAGTTGTCTGAGATCCACAGAAGGATGATGTGGCTGGGGGAGCCAGTGCAAAGTAGCAAAGTTCTTGCTGGATATGGAAACAGAAAAGAAGGGATCCATAAAAGGGGCCATTACAAGAGGAGGTTAGGTCCAGGAGGTAGGAAGAGGTGACTTCTGCATTATAAATCCCTTTCATTGCCTCTGAGTAAAATAATGAGAAAGGTGAAATGTCAAGGCTGGTCTGAAGAAACTCCTTGGGGGCCACAGATTCTGTTGGATCAAATGTTTAAGCTGCCAGGTCCATGTGTGATCACAAGGACTTCTTTCTCCATCGGCTTATGCCTTTTTTACTGATAGGGTCATAAATGTAAAGTTGGAACTGACCTCACAGGGCATCTAATCTAACTGAGGACCAGGGAGTTTAAGTCATTTGTCCAAGGTGTCAGAGGTGAGATTTGAACCTAAGTCTTCAGACTCTAGAGCCAAAGGTCTTTTCCATTGTGCTACAGTGTAACCCAAACCATAGAGACATTTTTTTCTTTTAGATTCTGGCTCAGAAAGACTGGTTCCATAAAAATGACTCTATCAGTCCTTGAATATAGTGAGACAATGCCAGTGACAAGGGTTCTTTGCCAGAATGTGTCATTTGTTGTCCAAAAGTCTAAAATCTGTTGGTACAGTTTCCATGGCATGATACTACCTACCCAGAAGCAGTTTCTGCATTAAACAAAGTATTTAGGTTCATTTCTCCCATCTTAGGATGGAAAAGTCTGTCCTGCTCCTTCTTTTCCAAACCACTTGCCATTATCTGTCTGCAGTCCCTGTGCTTGTCCCCTAAATAAGGTGTGACCCAAGTAATCAGGAAGAGAATCTCTGGTATTGAAGGTACAGAATCTCTGGTACTGAAAATACAGAGTGAAGAGTTAGTATTTATGATGAGCTGAAAGCTAAGGAGTCAGACCTTGGTACTATAATGACCAAAACAGAAAATGGAGATCTATTTCCTTATTCTCCAAAGCTTCAGAGTCTTCTTCCATCAGAAAACCAGCTTTCTAGTCACATGCCCATGTCCACCACTGGTCCAGATAAAGCCCAGGGCATCTGGCTTCTCTTCTCTGTGTGGTTTTAATTAGTTAGGTTAACTCAAACAGTTGTCTCTCTGTGATGGGGACCTAGCCAGCCTCTTCAAATACCTGGTAAAGGTTGGCTCAGAAATAAACTAAAAAAAGAGTATTGGAAAGAATCTATATGTAAGATACAAACCTGAAATTGTCACATCTCCTATGCAGGGTTAGTGGGTTTTGAAAAGGGTGGTGGCAAGTACATTTTTTTTAAATAAAGAGAAAGGGGTTTAAAATTTTGAAAAAGCTAAATGAATGAACACTTTGCTCTTGGGAAAATGCTTTTTGGAAATTTCCATAAGAATTTGTTTTCTGGGTAAGAAAGCAATAAGGGCATAAAAGGAAATGGGAAAATTTTTCTGTGCTCCGGAACCAAACTTATTACTTATTTTTCTATCCTATTTTCTCTATGTGCAGTGCGTACTTTTCCATTGTCCAAGCCAGACAGGAATGTCTTCTATTCAGTCAATCAACTTACAACTATTTATGGAAACGGGAAAAAAAATCAACCTGTCTGAAAAAAATGTATCTAGTTAGAACATTCTGAACTGGTTTTTAACTTTTAAAAACAAAAATATTTCTTGGCCAAAAATGCAGTACTAAAAAGTGGTCAAGTGATTGCTGGAAGAATGCTGCTCCCTGCAGGTTACATGCAAATTTGGCCCTCCCAAGTAGCTCCTAAAAGTCCATGTGTATATTTTATGGCACAGTGCTGGGCTAGCCCCTTAGCACTTTCTCTTTTTCAGACTCTGTCTTATATAATCCTCCCCACTATGGCACAATCTACTAGCTTCATTATCTGTGCTCAGTCCCTGAGGTCCTAAATGTCCCTGTGCAAGAAGGGTGCTCAGCAGGGCTCTTTCCCAATGAGAAAGAGTGCCAGAGGGAAAGGGTTGACCTGTCAGCATGCTATCTGAGCACTGCTGGTCTCCACCTGGCCTAAAGAGATATTCAATATAGAAAGCACAGAGTACCCAGATTTGAGATCTTTCCATCCCCAGTGAGGGAGGGACTGTTGTCCTCTTTGTTCTTTTAGTATCTGGCTCTAGCCCAGAATGGTTCAGACTTTGCAGAGGTATGCTTTTTGAGCCATTGAGAATTAAACTCCCTATTTTAAGCTGTTCTGCTAAGTCAGTGGCATTTATTAAAACACCTACTGTGTGATAGGCACGGTGCTACATACTTGGGGATACAAAGAAAAGCAAAAGACAGACCCTGCTCCCAAGGAGCAAACAGTCTAACAGGGGAGACAATACACAAACAATTCTACAAATAAGATGTAGACAGGGTAAATTGACAGTGGAAAATGTCAGAAGTTGAATTCTCTTCCCATTTCTACCAGGGGTGTGTAATGTTTGCCTCTGATTTGTATCACCCTGGACATGGGAAAATGGTCACTGGTACTTGCCTCCTTCTCTTTCCCCACCTGAATGGAGTAATGGAAACTGTAATGCATAGGGAACCCTTAAGAAAGATGGCATATAGGGGCAGCTAGGTGGTGCGGTGGATAGAGCACTGGCCTTGGAGTCAGGAGGACCTGAGTCCAATGCGGCCTCAGACATGTAACACTCACTAGCTGTGTGACTCTGGGCAAGTCACTTCACCCCAATTGCCTCACACACACACACACAAAAAGATGGCATATATTCACAAAGTGACATTAGCATGTTCTCAAGCTGCTCTTATAAGGGAATTGTAATGAGTTTTTCTGCTGCCAGAAGGCAGAGTTCTCTCAGCTCTAGTGGTCTGAGTGACCTCTCTGGATCTGTTTCATCTGTCAAATGAGGAGGCTGGGCTAGATAATCTCTAAGGTACTTTCCTGCTCTAAGTCTGTACACCTATGGCATCTAAAGGGGAAGAGAAAGAGCAAAGTAAACGTGATTGTGGATGCGCCTTCTCCAATGGAGATTCACTCGTTTCATTTTCCAGAGCATCACTAACTGAATGAAGACCTCTCTAGATCTGTGAACTAACAAGAGATTCAGCTATTATCTCTGCTTTACTTTGCTTGGCCACTGGAGAGCAGCACAGTTTGGAGAAAGGCTTAATCTAGCTAAACAGAGAGACACAAATCGCTAGGATTAAATGGCTGCATTTCCAGGTCTGGGTAGAGGCTAACTGCAGCCCCCTTTCCACTCCCCCTCCCATTTCCCAGTGGAATTCTATCATCTTCCAGGGAACTACCTAAATGGGGAAATTCCTTTTCATTCAGTATTTTAAATGGATTGGGGGGCTAGGGAAGCAGTGCTATCCAAACTTTTCCAAGTACCATTCTGTCCTGGCATCACTGATCCTCTTCATATACCCTCTTCCTCCTCTCTTCCCTAGACCTGGGCTCCCATATTCAGTTACCAAAATCAGAACTTTAAAATAAAAAAAGCCATAGTGAGCATATTAGTAGGAGGTAATCAGTTATCTGTGATCAGTATGATCAAATGCTGGTTGCTTGGCTATGCTACTCCCACACAATTCTGCCAGCTCTGTTGATTCCGAATCTAACTTCAGTTCCCATTCTTCCATTCTGTTGGTGTAAAGGTATCAGGGTATAGCTCAGGAAGCCCCTTCCTTCCCCATGCACCCCTTATTCACCCTTGCCAAAACCCAGGAAAGCTGGTTAGGGGCCAAATAAATGAATGCCATCATAGAGCTCTGTATGGAAAACTTGGCATTTAATAAATATTTATTATTTTACATTTTGTTCTGTGGTTTAACTCTGGATACGGTAGCACTTTCTAATGCTATCTAATGGTTAGCCAAGAGAGGTTTGGGCAGTCCAAGGCATCATGGGATGTCAAGCAGTTCTTTCCAGCCACCTCCTCAAAGCAGCTGAAGCTGCTTGATAATCTCTTTGCATAAAGCCCAGCATCAGTGAGCAGGTGCATACATCAAAGCCCAGCCTGTCTCTTCTAAGCTCACAGGGAGAAGCATGTGGGGGCCCACTGCACATGTGTCTCAGGCTTATTGTCATGCCTCTCAGCTCTGTCTCTGTCTTCCCAGGAGGATCTAGTGCTTGCCTCCCTTTCAAAGCCCCAAGCTGCCTCTGACATCCTGACAATAAAAAAAAAAATGTGCTAAATAGTAGGTTCTCTAAGCCTCGAAATCAAGCCCAGAGGTCTGCTTCCATCGTGTAAGCCTAAATTTGACTAACTTCATTGTTATTTGTCTTTCATTTCCAAAGAGGGCCAGTGACTTCACGGCTGATGTCTTGACTTTCCAGTGAATTGGATTTAAGCTGCAGAGTTGCACAAAGTCAACAGTCTTACTCTCTCTTCCCGAGTCATCAAAGTCCAGTGGCAAGACAAAAGTCAAGATAAGGGGCAGCTAGGTGGTGCAGTCTTCCAGTCTTAGAGTCAGGAGGACCTGAGTTCAAATCCAAACTTACTAGCTGTGTGACCCTGGGCAAGTCACTTAACCCCATTGCCTGGCCAGAAAAAAAAAAGTCAAGATGACTTGTGATACCCAGGATGCAATGGGTGACTTTGGTGTCTTCTATGTCTGACCAAACTCTCAGTGCTCTACAGCACCTGCTTCAGCCACCCTCATGGCCGGTGGAACAAATTGCTCTCATCTGCCCATTCTACCAGGGAAAGCATTCACATGCTTGGTGTAAACATTCCCCAAACTCACCGATGGTTTAAGGCCTATTGGTTACCTTTAACCAGGTTTATCCCATCTGCTGAAACAGTTTTACAGGGATGTGGCCACTGTGCACCCTACAGCCTCTTGGAGCCACAGGTGAGAGTTGGGTGATAGGTGGATACCAAAGGTGGATGAGCAGACCTGAGCAGGGGCCAGCAGGCCCTCCCATCAGAGGCACTAGTCCTCCTTGAACACCTTACAGACAAGAGAGGTCACTGGGTGTCACTGGTTCATAAATGTTTCAGTGCCAACAAAGCAGAGAGCATCTTATCCCTAAAACAGCCTATTAGCCTTTTTTATTCAGTTATTCAAGAATCACCAAGTGTCTATGATGTGCTAGGCACTGAGATGCATGCCCGCAAGAAGCTTACTCCTGGGGGTGGGGACAGGGAAAGGGAGGGTGGAACATACACCAATCAAAACAAAATCTATATAAAGTAATTGGGGAGAAATCTAGGAAAGGGCACAAGCAGTGGGGGTGGGGAATGGGTGGGAAGAGGCAAGGATCTGTTCTTCAGCCCTGAGAGAATCAAGACCGCTAAGAGGCCTGTATAGAGACGAGAGACGGAATATGGTATGCTGAGGATGATTATAAGATCACAAGATCTCAGATTTAGAACTAGAAGGGACTTTGTTGTTCAGTTGCGTCCGACTTTTTGTGATCTCATTTGGGGTTTTCTTGGCAAAGGTTCTAGAGTGGTTTGCCATTTCCTTCTCCAGCTCATTTTACAGATGAGGAAACTGAGGCAAACAGAGTTAAGTTGTTGAGGCTTAGGGGTGCTGGAACTCTGAAATAGTGATTCAGGTCTTGCCTCGAAAGAATTTGACCCAAGCCTTCTTTTAGCCAAGGACAATGTTTATTAAAACACGGATAGAAGTGGGAAAGATCTTAAGGAATCTCAGCATTGGTCAGACTCTGAAGGAATCTGAGCAATTTAACGGGGGGGTGGGGGGTGGGGGAGAGGGTTGCAAGATAGACCTTATGTACAGAAAGACTATGGGAAGGATCTAGCAGTGGCCAGTAGGCTGGGGTGACTGGGAGGTAATAGAGAAGGACCGGTGAACTCCAGGGACTTGGACCAGATGGCCAAGGAAGAATGGAGTCTAGATAGAATCAAGGGTGGGAAGTAGCCGGTGGGCATCTGGAGGTAGGAGACAATGGAGGGCTGGGCTAGGTTAGAGGTACAGAATTGGGAGATTGGGCATAGCCACAATGAAAGGTCAGTTGGGATGGCAAATGCCAGAGACTTGACCATGTGGGAAAATTCAAGGAATTTGGGGGGGCCGGTTTCTAGGGCCCATACCCTATCAAAGTGACTTGTCCAGTGTCACAGTATCTGTGGCTAGATTTGAACTCAGGAAAATGGGTCTTCCTGACTCCAGGCCAACCTTGTCTCTGACTGAAAGAAGGCTTGAGTCAAATTCATTTGAGGCAGGACCTGCGTCTTCTGCCCTTGAATTTTGGGGTTCGCAGCACCCCTAGACCACAACAGGTAGAAATCACAAAGATACACATTTAGGCTTGGAAAAACTTCCAAGAATTAGAGTCTAGGGGCAGCTAGGTGACTCAGTGGATAGAGCCTTAGAGTCAGGAGGACCTGAGTTCAAATTTGACCTCAGACACTTGACACTTACTAGCTGTGTGACCCTGGGCAAGTCACTTAACCCACATTGCCTCATCAAAAAAAAAAAAAAAAGAGGAGAATGGTCTGGGCTCAGGGGACCTCATTGGAGGTCCTCCAGCAGAGGTTGTTATGGTGTTATAATAAGAATTCCTCTGGTTTATGTGTTGGGCTAGATGGCCCCTGGGGTCCTTTCCAACTCTACAGTTTCTTTGTTTGTTTTTTTTTAACAGAGGAGTTCGCATTTGAATTAGACTTTAGAAGTTGGGTAGCAGTCCAGTAGGCCAAGCGAGGAAGAAAGGATAGGGAGCAGTGTGAACAGTGGCCTGGAGTTAGGAAGACCTGGGTTGAAACTTTACCTCTGACACTTACCACATGCATGACCCGGGCAAGTCACTTAACCTGTCTCAGTTCCTCAAATGTAAAATCAGTATAACTATGAACCCTGAACCCAATTTGAAACAGTCTGCTCTAAGAAAGAGACAAATGAAATTGGGGTACATGTGTCCACGGTTTAATTTCTCAAAGTGCCTTGATATGCATTGCATGGGAGTTCAGTCCAAAACTGGGCCCCCCTAAGGCGGCCAGTTCAGAACTGGCTCAGTTTGGGGTTTTGGGGAACAGCCTTATAAGCCCTTTGAAAAATAGGTGTTCCCAATGGGTGCCAATTAACCGTGATTGGTCGACGTACTAGGAGGTGGGTGGGTTCCTTAGATCACTCACTCTACAGGAGCCAGTATCACCTGCCATCAAGGAAATACCACCCCCAGTCTCGGGAATCTGTCTCCACCCAAACCTGAGTAGGATAAAATCAGTTTAGGCCTGGGCTGGAGTTTGACCAAGATAAGAAGATTCAATGCAATCTCATTATCAGAGATGTGCGTCCTTCTGAAGAACTTGGGTCTAAAGGCTGGGGTTGGGGGCAGCAGGGAGCTCAGAGTCTCCAGAACACAGATTACCAAGAGAAATAATTGTTAACATCCCCCCATCTGATTCTAATGAGAAGCATAGCTTTCTCAATAAATCACTGACTGATATGGTCAACATCTCATCAAGCATTTTTGGAGACTTATAACAATATGGGAGGGGGAGGGAGAAATTGATTGACGCATTGATAAATCAAAGGAGGCAGTCCCCTTAGTAAGTACAGATACAGAGACCCAAAAGTAACGATACATTATCCATTTAAAGCTTCAGAAGTCTCCTCTCATAAAGCTGTCTGGTGTTCTGGACATCATCTGGTGAGGTTTTCTAGTCTGAATGCTGTTCAAGCAATGTCCAGCAGACTGAGCCA